TGGGATTATACATATGCACCACCATGCCTGGCTAGTTTTTTTTTGTATTTTTAGTAGAGACGGGATTCACCATGTTGGCCAGGCTGGTCTCAAGCTCCTGACCTCAAGGGATTTGCCTGCCCCAGCTTCCCAAAGTGCTGGGATTACAGGCGTGAGTCACTGTGCCTGGCCGGTTCCCCCATTTCTGTCATATTGGTTCTGATATGGTTTGGCTCTGTGTCCGCACGCAAATCTCATGTGGAATTATAATCTTCAATGTGGGAGGAGAGGCCTGGTGGGAGGTGACTGGATCCTGGGAGTGGATTTCCCCCTGCTGCTCTCATGTTCGTGAGTTCTCACGAGATCTAGTTGTTGAAAAGTGGGTAGCACTTTCTCCTTTGCTCTCTCTCTCCTGCTCTGCCATATGAAGACCTGTCTGCTTCCCCTTCGACTTCCACCACAATTGTAAGTGTCCTGAGGCATCCCCAGCCATGCTTCCTGTAAAGTCTGCGGAACTGTGAGCCAGTTAAACTAATTTTCTTCAATTACCCAGTCTCACGTAGTTCCTTATAGCAATGCAAGAATGAACTAACACAGGTTACTAACCAGATCCTCGCTCTTTCTGCCTGAGATTGCAAAGCACATTGCTGCCCAAGGCTTCTGCACTCAAGGTAACCCTCTGTCCACATGCTCTTCAAGACACATGCATGGCTCACCTCCTTGGTTCACTCAGCTCTGTGCTGGTACTGCTTTAACAGGTGGGCAGGCACAGACACACACCCGCGTTACTCTGCCCCTCCTGGTCTCTGAGTTTTCTTCTCCAGACCTTACCACCAAATAACATGCTATGTGTTTACTGTTTTGCCTTTTGCCTGTCTCCTTCACTGAAGTGGAGGTTCAAGAGGGCTGGTATGTTAAATAGTGCTCTGCTGTATTCTTAGCCCCTAATATATTGCACTGGTCCATGTGATGCTTTAAATAAATATTTAATCTTCACTATAACTCTGTTGAGTTAGCTGTTGCTACTTTGACCATTTTACAGGGGAAAAAATTGAGGATGAAATATGAAATAATTTGCCCCAGATTATGGTTAGTGTATGGCACAGTGAACATTCAAACTCAGTTTTCTTTCTTTTTTTTTTTTTTTTTTTTGAGACAGAGTCTCACTCTGTCACCCAGGCTGGAGTACAGTGGCACAATCTCAGCTCACTACCACCTCTGCCGCCCAGGTTCAAATGATTCTTCTGCCTCAGTCTCCCAAGTAGCTGAGACTTCCGGTGCATGCCACCACACCCAGCAAATTTTTGTATTTTTAGTAGAGTCGGGTTTTACCATGTTGGCCAGGCTGGTCTCAAACTCCTGACCTCAAGTGATCCACCCTCTTCAGCCTCCCAAAGTTCTGGGATTACAAGCATAGGCTACCGCACCTGGCCAAACTCAGCTTTCTATCAGCTAAATGAATAGAATGAACAGACTGACATTCCACCTGCCTTGCTGCTGTGTTCCCCCAACATTATTTGCCCTCTGGTCGCCTCCAGCAGCTCCTTTTGTCCCACTGCAGCTTGAGGACAAATAGCTCATTTGTACCACTTGACAGCACAAATTTTCTCCCAATTCCCATGCTGACTGACATGAAAGGGAGCTGGGGATTGGCCATGGTGGGATCAGTTATACCATGGAAACTGGCAAATGCTATAACCAGGAATTCTTCTTTCCCAGAGTGTTGACTGTTAGAACCCTCACCAGGACACCACTGTCCCCCATTCCTCTAGCCGTATCCTTCCACTTGTCTCTACTCAATGTGCCCAGAAACTGCTTCTGTTTGGGCCCAAACCCTGAGGTTTCACTAGCAAGGAGTAGGGAATTAGACAATTGCTAAATCAAAAAACTATGACTAGTGACTAGAAAACTAGATTAAAATGGAGATAACGTGACAAAACATTTATGTTCAATGAAGACAAGTGCAGGGCATGTCATTTACAAAAATAATATCCTTGTACAAATGGAGTACAGCATGCTTTTCTGGAAAGCATTTCTTGGCATTTACTGTATTTTGCTTGGAAACAAAAAAACAACAACAAAAAAGCAAACCAAAAAATCCACAACTCAATGATTATGAGATTAAGGGAAAACAGAAAACATATTATAAGCACAGCTATACAACCTACTGAAATATTAGACTGACTTGACATTGTAAGTTTCTATTCAGGTCAATTAAGCCAACACACGACTCATATTAAAGAAGCTATGAATACACTTTAAATTTCTTTTTGGTTGACAAAGAAGTTACCCTGATCCTTCTTCATCAGTTACCCAATCTCAGGTAGTTCCTAATAGCAATGTCTAAACAAACCAATACAGGTTCATAACCAGATCCTCACTCTTTCTGCCTGATATTGCAAAGCACATTGCTGCCATGCAAAGGCACATTGCATGCTCTATGCCTGCCTCATATTGGCTAAAAATGCTCACATTGTGTGGCAATCCAGTTAATACAAACAATTAATATAATAAGAAAACCACTTACTTCCAGGGTCTGCATCAGATTTGGTTTTATTGCATCTTTCATCAAAACTGTCAAAGCACCTGTCACCCCCTGTGGAAGAGAGAAAAACATTAGATTCCTAACAAAAGATTATCCAGGCAATGGATGGCACTTCGCTCCAGCCTGCTTCTTGGGTGGGTGTCCCCACAGGCAACCCCAGGCCTCAGGGGCAGTGCTGCTGCCTCTGTCCACCTCTCCCCACCAGAGCTGAGAATGATGTCAGTCATTCTACGATGTGAATGGTGAGGGAAGTAGCATTTTGAAGGATGTTTGCCCTTCTTCCAAAACCTTCCCTAATGATGATTATGAGGTTCTCCATAAAACAAATCTTTCAGGCAGAGGTGGGTGGATCACCTGAGGTCAGGATATCGAGACCAGCTTGGCCAACATGGCGAAACCCCATCTCTAATAAAAAAACAAAAATTAGCCAGGCGTGCTGGCATGTGCCTGTAATCCCAGCTACTCGGGAGGCCGAGGCAGGAGAATTGCTTGAACCCGGGAGTCAGATGTTAGAGTGAACCAAGATTGTGCCACTGCACTCCAGCCTGGGCAACAGAGCGAGACTCCATTCCACACACACACACACACACACACACACACACACACACACACACAAAAAGAAAAAAAAGAAAGAAAGAAAAAAGAAGAAGGAAGAAGAAAGCTGCAGGACGGGAAGGGCTCCATGAGAGTCGTCCTGTGGTGCTAACGCAGAGCAGGTGGAAGAAGAGGAGGAGTTTGTCTACTTCTCTGCACACTGTCCTTGCTTATACTTTCCAACCAAAGAAACTGATTCGAAAAAATAAGGAGGAGAGAAGTTAAATGGGACGTTTCTGTTGGATGTCTCAGGTAGGTTTCCAAACCTGCTCATTTTTCTGGGACACATCTCAGTGCTTCTGCTGTCATGTGCCAGGCAAGCTCTGCCAACCTCTGTGCCTGCTAGCATTCCATGCTCTGTGTCCATGTGGGGAGGGCTCGGATGCATTCTTCCAGGGTATGTCAGAATCATGCATGTGGCAGAAACTTTGAGCAGTTCCTAAAATCTTCCCTCAATTTTCTATGGGTGGCCAACTCTCGATAGCTCCCACTGGATGAAGCACAATTTGAATAAATAAGGTACTTTGTGCAAACAAGAAACACGAAAGATAACTAAAAGAAAAAACACAAAAGATAACTAAAAGACAAAAACACAAAAGATAATGAAAAAGACTAAGCTTTGGGTTTCTTCCAGATTCAAGATTTTTATCATATACTCACATAAAAATAAATTTAAGGGCTGGGCATGGTGGCTCACACCTGTAATCCCAGCACTTTGGGAGGCTGAGGTGGGCAGATCACCTGAGGAGTTCAAGACCAGCCTGGCCAACATGGTGAAACCGTGTCTCTACTAAAAATATAAAAATTAGCCAGGCATGGTGGTGGGCACCTATAATCCCAGCTATTTGGGAGGCTGAGGCAAGAGAATCACTAGAACCTGGGAGGCGGAGGTTGCAGCAAGCCACGATCGTGCCATTGTACTCCAGCCTGGGCAACAAGAGTGAAACTCTGACTCAAAAAAATAAATAAAAATAAATAAGCAAACAAATAAATTTAAGAAAGTAGTATTTGAGGATTAAGTTTCAAAACT